GTGGGTAGGGAGTGCAGTGGGAGTGCTGGGACTCCCAACTCTCCTGCTGTGCGTGTATTGCAAACTGTTGCTGGCAATGGCAGAGGATCAGGCAGAACGTTGTGTTTGGGGAGCGGAGTATGACGTGGATGGGAGAGCTCAGTCGGTAGCATGGGAAAAAAGTAATTAAGGAGTGATTGAGGTGGGATTGGAGAGGTGGTGGCTGCTGCCAAGTCCTTTGTCATAGTGCTGCCAATATAAGTTGTACAGGTGCTCAAAGAGGTCTGTGCATTTCAACTGGGTCATTCTGCCTGCCTAAGGGAGGCTGGCTCTGCTGAGGCTCTCAATCAGTGTGGTGTCAGTGTAGTCCAGCACAGCTTGTATGTGGTTGTGTGGTGTTGGGGTTGACATGAAATAAGGAGTACCAGGCTTTTTGTGGAACAGGGGGGGCATCACAGCTGCCATTGTGCAGAGAGGGAGGAAGAGAGTGAGGCTGGAGCTGGCTGTAAGAGTGACAAAGGAGTGACCAGGCGAGGCGGTGAACTGAGAAGCAGCTGCTGAAGATGTCTGTGGGAGGCACAGCAGATTGCCAGTGTGCACAATCACTTACTCTGCCATAAACCTTTATCATAACCTTAGCCCAGTAAAATATTATAAACAGATTTTAAACTGGCGTGGGTGTTTGCTCCTATTCTTTGTGACTGACCAGCTTGAGTTTATCCTGAAGATCTGCAGACAGCATTGTTTTGGGTCCCAAAGGCAGAGCCTGCCTCTCTTACCATACTGCACACTGAGATTTGCAGAGCTGGTGGATCAGCAGAGTTACGGTAATCTGTCTAGAGGAGGAGTAGTAGGAGAGAAGATGAAGGCTGATTAAATTACTGATTACAAATACTGAATTAAAGCCACTTGCAAGGAGTCTTTGACTTTCATGAAGCCATTAATCTGTAATTGTGTGACAAGTGATTTCTGTGAATACTTTCAACTTTTAGGTGGTCACTGAAAGGTTCCTGGTACTTTTTTTTCACTGGTTTGTTTGTATGGCTACTTCAGTTTTGCTGCATGGTTATAATATAAAAATAACAAATAATCATAGAATCATAGAATAGTTAGGATTGGAAGGGACCTTTAAAGGTCATCTAGTCCAACCCCCCTGCTGTGGGCGGGGACATCTTCGACTAAATCAGGTTGCTCAGAGCCCCGTGGATAATGACTAGTGGATAATGCATGTGTTCATACACAAATAAACTCATTCAAGGCAAAACCCAACTGTTTTACAAGAGTCACTGAAAATAAAAATTATTTGGTATTGCTTGAGAAAATCCTGATTAGTAGCTGCAGTTTGGTTTGGAAGGAAAAATATTCTAAAGAAGTAGGGTTGGACAATGTCTTTATCATCAAAAACAGATTTCAGTGTCATATGACAAACTAGCAGGACTTAGTATTTGACTCCTTCTGACAAACAGGCAAACATGCCCCAAGTAGAGTGATCTGGACTGATGTTTGAATAAAGGAGACATCTGGAGCTTGCATCCTTTCCCCAAAGCTATTTCCCTGCCCTTTATGCCCTTCAAAACTCTCGCCTGAACAAGATGACTACTTTTTCCTTTATAAATTCAGGCTTTGTATCCTTTCTGGCTTCTGGAAGGGTCTGAGTATTTTTGTGAAGTCAGCGTTAAAGCATGAAACTGATTGAATTAACTTTCTGGAATTGTTAATTTTATTGAACATGAATAAGATGTTCGTGTGAGCTGATATAGCAGAGAATAGAGTGAGAAGTCAATAGAAAAACCAGATGTGTGAGTAGGAGACCGAGCCGCGGCAGGAGCTGTCCTTGCCGGAGAGCTGGGATCGAGTGCCACCAGGCGTTTGCTTGTGGCCATGGCAGCCAGTGGTCCCTGCAGCTGGAGGTTGGATTTTTCATTAGTTCAGTTTATGAAATGGCACAGTACTGACGGCATTAACTCATGCTAAATTTGCTTGTGATTTTCTGCTATTGCACTAGCGTGTGTTTTATACATCTGTGGTGTGGGACATATTGTGTACATTAAGTGCAGCAGTAAAATCTGGCGCTTCAGGTTCCTTTCAGATTTTTTGCATTTTTAGGTTCTTCAGGTTTGCTCTTTAAATGGGGAGAGGAAAGCACGGACAGTTGTTCAGAAAAGACATTTTAAAATGATGGAATTTGGACTCACATTTCAGTCTGTTTTCTCTGTACTGCCCCAGTTGCATAAAAGTAGTTTGTAGTGGCTAGTCATTGTCCCAAGAAATATCTGCAACGTAGGAGGTTTTCTGCAGGTCAGAGCAGCAGATGGCTACATGATGCCTCCTTTTGAACCTTTCCATTTGAGAATGTACTGGTTTGTAGAGGGCATTGCAGGTCAGGCCTTAAGCTCTAGTGAGGCTGCCAGAAGAGCTCCTTGGACCATTTGCAGTCCAGCTGTTATTGACTTTCTGAAAAACCTTATTTGGCTTATTTGTTAGACGTGTTTGCCTCATGAACTCTGCCTTGCTTTGTTCTGCTTGCTTTTGTAACTTCATTCAGAGCACTGGCTTTCAAGTAGAGGTTCCTTTTTAATGAGGAATGAAAGAATTGCAGAGATTTATGATTGATTGTGGCATTGATGAAAGCGTTAACTAGAATGAATTAAGAGTCTTGTGGGAAAGCAGGTCGGGCAGCCCCTCGCTGGGGATAAGTGGAAGGAAATGCTGGTTTTCCCTTTTCTTTCAGATCAGGCAGGAACAAAGTCAGGAAGCTGAGAGAGGTCAGCAAAGATCCATGGGTTTTTATTGCTCATAAAAGAGTTTTGCTGGTTTTGTTTTCTCTTCCTTTTTCTGATGCAGACTAAAAGGGTGGCTTTGCTGTTTTGTTTTCTGTCATGCTTTTTCTATGGACTAGATTTAGGCTAAATCATCCACTTTGATCTGATCAGACTCTTATTCAGTTCCTGGTAAGTCTTGATGACTTGTGCTACAGTAAAATTGTGATAGTTTCTTAAATGGGAAAGGTATCACCTTGGTGATTTCTTTTATTCCAGGAAGCATGTGAAGATAAAACCGCGGTAGTTTTATTTCTTACTCCCTCAAACTTGAAACATTTATTAAAAAAAAAATAGGAGGGAGAATAGGTCAGGAAAGATGGCGATTATTCTGTTTTTTCTGTCCTAGCCCCACCTGAAATATAATGGCCATAAATATAACTATTATTTCTAGCCAAATAGGATAGTATATTTGCATGTTTACTATCACCATGAGCATTTCCCCTGCATATGACATATGCATAGGAGTGAAAACATTTAAAATAAATGCATATAGGTGGATCTGTACTCCAAACTCTAAGCTCCAAAAAACCAGTGTGGCTTTACGTGACTTGCTCACTACAGTTAGTCCTGGCTGGATGACAGTACCTGTGCTTGAGCAGGTCTGATTGCCAGGTTGGCTGGTCCCTTCCGGTGCTATTCTAAGCCCTTGTTGCTGAAAGGAGAAAAGGGAAGAACCCACTAATTGAAGAACAAGAACTCAGAAAAGTTTGGGGTTTTTTTCCTTTTGTAACTAATCCTCCTGTTTTCACTGGATTTGCTGTTATATTCTTCCTGACAGCGTGTCAGTAGGACTGGACTGTAATCGGATAATACCCGATACAATTGTTCTTTCTTTCCATGAACAGTGGAAATTTGATTTGATAACGGGACCTTAGCTCACCTGACCTATCTGGGAAGTGCGACAGTGTGCCAGGTGTTAATATTCAAACAGCTTTTCATTGCTGCTTTGATATGTATCAAGGATTCTGATCACAAGTCATTATTTCATAAAAATTTCTAATGGGATAGGAGTAAAAAACCTTTATTAAATGGCATGAACTTCTGCATCTGAATGTAATAAAATAATAGTATATGATATATTTTTAGGTATAAGAGATTAAAATGCATATTAATTAAAGGAATAATGAATACCTTTATGAAAATCTCAGCTACAAGTTGCAAGTAGCTGTTTAATCAAATTCTTTCTATGGAAGAATGCATTTCATTATAACATAATTAGCACATCTATTGTGTTTTTAATACAACTTGTGCTAAAGTGTGTTTGATCTGGAGTTTGCTCATGGCAATTAGCAGTGAAGGAATTGAACTTTTTTGCTTTATTCCAGGCTTTGTAAATTATAAGTGCCATATCTGGGGAAAATTGATGTGATTTTTTTAAAGCACTAGAATAATCTTGGGAATATATTGGGGTAGTCATTATTAGCAGCGAAAAGAAATGGTAAGAAACTGTGCTATCTAAAGGTGCAAATTTAGGGGTCTTTTTTCTGTCACAGGTGTGTACTGTTCTGTCATGTCATATCTAAATCCTGGACTGTGAGAAAGCTGTAGCTTTTTGTGTACTACAGAGTAATCCTGCTTGCATATGTCTGTAGCAGCAGATCAGAGAGGAAGAAGAAGATAGCAGGCCAGGGGCTGGGGTGGTGGTGCTGGGGGTGTCATCCTTTTTTCCCATTGAGGTACCACTGATAGACCACTCAGGTAGTGGGCGTATGTGTAGTTCCCTCGCATGTGAGTGGTATGTACTGACCCAGGGTGTTAGTACTTTCTGTTCTACAGTGTGTCCTTTACCATTTGAGAGGAGTACTTTTCCAGTAGGAAAAAAGGGCAGGATATCAGTAAACATGGTGGTTCAAAATCACCCTGATGCCTGGCTGCTAAAATACCAAACATCTGCTCGGAAATTGAAAGCATCCTGTAGCACTGGCAGACACGAGTCCTCCAAAGTCCGAGGGTTCAACCTCACCAGCTGCTGAAACCAGACTGCACTGTTGGGGCTTTTCTCTTCCTTACCCCAGGAGCTTTACTGACAGCTTTCCAAAGAGTGGGAGAAAACTTCTTTTACAGAAAGTCCTTTGGTGAATTTGTGTCTAGTCTGAGTTTGCTTAGAGTGTAGATACCAGTGTTTTTATGGTTGAGTTCACTGTGGTACAAAGCCTGGTATTGTCTTCTGTGTGAAACTCATTAATGCACAGAAAATCCAAACTTGAGATTGGCTTTTATGTAGTTAAAAAAAAAATACAGTACAGGAATATAAAAAGAAACTATCCAGTGCAAACATCTTTATGCAGTGAAATTGATACAGTGTTCCTTAAAATAGCTTTATAAAACAGGCTTAAAAATAGTGATTACAGGTAATACTATCTGGATGATGCTTACCAAAGTACTTTACTTACTGCACTAAATAATTTTATGACTAACTTTACCTGTTGATAGCCAATACCTTAGTTACTGATGAAAACCTTAAACTGTAAGTATTATTAGTTAGCATTCTTTATAATATACTAACATGTGAAACCTCAATAGCATACATTGTTGACTGGATTAAGAAAAACAGAAGAGAATGAGCACATTAAAAATAAAACCAAGGCTGTCATCCCCAAAAGTACTTCTTTTATAAAGGATGTGATCCAAAGCTGATTTGACTGATGGGCAGAATTCTACCTAGTTTTCCTTTAGTTCATATTTGAAAATTTGAGTGATTGCATTATTGATGATAGTAGGGTGTTAGTGTCCAGCTAAGTATTGTATTGGATAACTTTTTACAATAGTGAGGACTAATGTGAGACCATATTATAATGCATTGCTGTTTCCTGCCAAGAAAGCATTTTGGAGAAAGGGAGTGTAAATTAGAGATGACATGAATAAGTGAAAAGCAAATTTATGAGGTTCCACTATACTGGTTTAGGAAAAAAAAAAAAAGATTTAGTGTTATTTGGTTAGCTACCAAATTTAAATAATCGAATCAACTAAACTAATATATACAGCTCCAGCACGGATTCTGCAAAATTGAGTATCTGTGTGGTAGGCCTCTGTTCCTGTTGAAGGCAACGGGAATCTGCATTGCCAGAAGCCAGAGACAGGCCATTGTCCTAAGAGACCTGCTTTTTACAAAATGTATTTGGCTGGGTGACTTCCTGCATGCGAAGTTTCATTCTATTCATTCTGTGGCTCTTCGTCAGGTGAGAAACTAAACGCACGCTTACCAGGGACATAGTAGTTGCAACTCCAAAACCTTAGTTATATTTGCGGTTCTTTCATGCAGAAAAATGTGTGGGTGTGTAGCATTCCGGTTTGGAAGTCTACAATATCTTCCTAGGTGGAAAATACCTGTTTTACAGTACCTGCTTAGAAAAAAATCAAAACAGTTTCACAGTAATGAGGCCCTTCATTTGTTTGTCCCTGAAAAAAATACAATTGCTTTAATAACATTGAATAAAAAACCTATTCAACCTCTTTAGAAATCTAGAGAGACCTATGTTGCCATCTAGAGAGATTTACAGTATTGGAGTCTTAACATTCCCCTGATCTCCACATTTCCTGCCCTGCAGGATATGTTCCATTGAGTAACGCCGAGATCCCATTTACAGAAAGAAAAAACAATTTTGCTGCTAGCTAGAGCAAATTCTAGCACGCCAGAAAGGTGCCTGAAATCATCATCAGGCTGTTAAAAATGACAGATGAAACCAGATTGTGCATGTAAAAATCCTGTCTAATTTTATCTTTAGTAACTCATATATGTAGTAGAAGACTATAAAGCAAGAATAATTAATAGATTGGAAAGAAAGAAAAATCATGCCTTTTTTTGAAAGTGATGGAATAATTTCTAATATTAAGTGATAGACCATATGTTCCTCCTCTCCTCTGCTGGGTAAGCATAAGCGTGGAATATCAATAAAGATGTTACAAGAGGGCCAGGCAAACCAGCCGGCTAGAGATACAGGAGGTTATTCAAAACATTCCTTCCCAAAGCCACCGAACGCCTCTGTTCCAGTGGATGGTGACCTTGAATGCAGGTTGATGAAAACAGTACAGGAGGAGAGGAATGAGCGAGAAACTGGGGACAAAACCACTTTTTAAGGAGAAGTGTCTATCTGGATAGGGGGAGGAGTTGTGTCCTAGAAGACTCGAGCAGGTCCTCGAGCAGCAATTTTGGGGAAAGAACTGAATATTAGCAAGGATAGCAGTGCTGGGGGAAGTCAATGTATGTGATCTGTGTGTTTCTTTTTAACCCTACTGCTGTTTGAAATCCTGGTATGGCTTGGGTGAAGAGCTGTGAGTTCTTCTTTGGCCATTGGCAGGCTCTTGATGTCTATCTGTAGTGGGAGGGAGAAAATTCATGGCTAATTTGAACTTAATACACAAAATCTTCACTTGGTTCTGATCCATACAGCTCAGCTAACATTTTAAACCTGGGTCCCCAGTCATTTAGAAAGTCATAATCAATATCTGAGTCTGAGGAGCCTGATTCCAAAGAACTGAGAGATTCTGCAGTGGACTCAGCACCTTCGTAGCCATAAATGTGAAGTGTGTCATATGGCAGCAAATCCCTGTCATTGTCGGCTTCATCCTTCTTAACCTCAATCATCATTTCCATTTCTCCAGCACCAGAAGTTATATTTCCAGGAGGCTTTTGGACTTGTGCATATGGAGAGGGAACTGCTTCCAGCTTTATACCATTCTTGCGGACAGAGTTGAGTACAGATACGTCATAGCTGGTGGTATCCATTTCACCACCACCTTCTTCATCATAAGTGACAAGCTGCTCATGAATCTCTGCCACATTCCTCCCAAGACCGCTCAAATCCTTCTTGTGTCTCTTTCTTAGAAGAATTAGCAATGTGATTACTGCAAAGAAAGCTTAGATGAGCACGTGTAAATAAGAGAAGTAAGGAAGTAAAACAAATTGCATTTAGGATATGTAACACAGTCTGAAGTGTTTTTTTTCCAGAGTGAATTTTTTTTAACACATATTTATTAAAGAAATAGTTTAAAATACTGATTAACTGTAGGATTTGTATGTTCTCAAAGCAGTTCAGTCTGTACAGGAGTTGTACAACTGACTCTTGAGCTGGAATCACAAGTACAAATGCATAGTGTCACAGGTTCATTGAATCAATTACTGCCTTGAACTGGTAAATCTTTTAATGCTAGGCATCAAATGCTACTTACATGGTAATTGCAAACGAGGCCTCTTCTCAAGAAAGAAAAAATACTGCCCCTTCTCTGATAGATTCCAAATACAGCAAATAGGTACTGGTCTGCTGATTTGTTACAGATTTATTTATGTATGTATGTTCACTGTACTGTTTAAAGGGTTTACAGACCAGTTCAGCCTTTGGAAACAGGAATCCTATTGTTATTGCCCCAGCACAAAATTCCTGTTTTATAGCTGCATGTGAGTCTGGTAACAGTAAATCAAGTATATTATGCATACATGCAATAACCTTTCCAGTGACTCAGCCTTTCCAATAGAATGAACAGCTTTGTAGCTGAAACTATGCTAACAGGCCACAGAAAAAGCAGGTGAGAAGAATCAAATAGTTACAGTATTTCTGCCTTTGTGACCATTGTATAGCCACAAAGCTTTTGTAGGTCTCAGTTAAGAAAAAACAAAAGAAAACAATCCCCACATTTTAAGTCAGAGAACATTACAAAAGTCAAATACTCACCAATGATTGTGAAGATACAGATAAAAATTGCCACCAGTGCTTGTATACTAACTCCAACTTGTTCAGCTCTTTCCTCACAAAAAGTGAAGTTGCCTTTTTCATTACACTTGCAGACACTGATGACAAGTGTATTTGTGCTGCTGAGCTCAGGATCACCATTGTCTGAGATGATGACGGGCAGGTAGTGGATTTTGGCAAGTTCACGATTAAACTGTCCATATTTGACAGTGATATTAGCTGTGTTATCTGGAAGAAGTAACGACATCTAATTAAGTGATAATCTCTACCAGATTTTCCTTACAGATTATCAATCAGTTGGTACATCTTCCCCTTAGACAGGGGAAGAGCCAGCCTTTAGGGAACCCAGTGAAACTTGGGTGGCAACAAACACCATTTTTTTTCAGTAAGCTAAGCCTTTAAAAAGAAATTGTTACTTAGGTCAGTTAGACCAATCATAGGTCATTGCTAGAGCTTTTCTCCCCTCTGTCCTAGTGCCTAGTGCCTCACTTTGGCTAGCTGAGAAAATGCATTGCAGGGATACGCTACCGTAGTTCTCAACCAAGGAGAAGTTGCTATCTTCTGTGGCCAGGGAGTATTTGAAGAAACCTCTAGGTGATATTTCATCCTTGTCAGTAGCTGAAATCCTGATGATTACCTACAAAGATGGAAGAGGTCATAATTTTCAGTGTACGTTGCCTCCAGTGATAAAACCGCTTACAGTATTTAAGTTAGAGCTGGGCTGTGTATACTGTATAACCCTTCAGTAAAGGACAGGACAAAAATATCTTCTGATGCTCCTCCTCAAGTTCTTTCAAGGCAAGTAATTTCCTTGTAGGTCTTCAAAAAGAGCAGTCTTGCCCCTTCGTTCACAGGTGGGAAACAAAAGAGGAAATCTTGTGTAATTAAAGCATAAAAAAAGTCTTATGCTCAAAGACATACGGCTCATTTAAATACCTAAGATGGCTGTCTTCTGAAGTGTTCAACTTACTTAGAAGTATGACTCTCATTCATTGAATGTCATTGAGACTGCCACTCCTGAATTACATGCTTGTTTTTGAAAACCTCAACCTGGGGTAGATTAGATGTACAAAATGTAAAAAAAAGTGTATGATTATGTCCCAAAGGTATTTTAAAAATAAATTAAAGGTGAAATAATATCTTGTGTGTTCTAACAGATTCCATCAGAAAGTCCAGTCTGTGACAAAGTCTCTTAATTAAACAAACATTACAGGCTAAATACTTGTGTGTGAGGCCAAACATCTAAAACCACAAATACTAATACTATTGTGCATGCAGATACTTGCACTCTGATGAATACTACAATAATGTTATATGCAGCAGTGTTTCTCTTAGTATTGTGAAATGGTTTCATTCTCAGTATCAAGTATGAACATTTGTGTGATAAAACTGAATTGCTAATTTTTGCTCTTCAAGGCTTGACTGTACTTCACTGTTCAATTGCTAATGCACGTACATACTTAAAAGCTTGGAGGGAGAGGAACTGTGCAGCCCATGTGCGTAAGCAGATAAAAGCCAATATTCCAACAGTGTGTAGTCCTGAAGAGAGATTTCTGACCACTGACATTTTGGAAATCAGTGAAATGATCAGGTGCTTGGGTATGAAAACTGAGACTAACTTTTATTAAAAGACATCTTTTGCTTGAGCTTGCAAGTAGATAATTCAGGTTTAAGGGAAAACTCTTCCTCCTGTCTCACCTTTCCTGGTGCAGCATTTTCACACACTCTGGGTTCCTCAGGATAAACAAGTTCTGGAGCATTATCATTTTCGTCAGTAACTATTACGTGAACTTGGGCATGTGATTCTCTGTCAGAAAGATGGCCTGAAATGACAACAACAGTAGTACAGGTCTCTGAGATGTCTGGAATCTCAGTGCTATCTAGCCCCCCCTTTCCACTGTTTGTGTCCACCTCTGTGCCTCCTGCATGCTGAATATGGAGAGTTTCCATCATTAATTTAAACTTTTCCTTTGACAGATTCAGATATTTTCCTAAAAACTCTCCTATTGGGCTAAATCATCAAGGATCTATGAGGAAGAAACTGACAATTGTTTGTGGCTTCCTGATTCTTCACACTGTGTGGCTATGGGATCCAGCATTGTTCTCTGGCACTAAGGCAAAAGGCACAGAACAGGCCATGTCTAGATTATTAAATATCTTTCACCCTCCAGAAAAGGCCGGCCTCCCCAAAACCAACTCGGGACTGGCCCCCCGGGCCTGCCCTGCTTCCTGAACCCAAGCGAAGCTATGCGGGGATGCCTGTGCAGCGATGCTCCCTGGGCGGCAGTGTGGGAAGGGGATTTTGTAACTATGTAAGTGGGTGAAGCTGGCTGGGATGTTTCTGCTCTAACCACAGGCTTATCCCTGTTTTCCAAGCTGTTTCCTCTCCTCATGCCCTTTTTATTCCTTGTAACAAACTGAATGCATTTTCATAATAGCTAGGGGCCGAATCTTAAAACTGTATTTGACCTATTTGTAGGTACTCATTTGATTTGGAAGATTATTGTGCAAACTCTGCAAGCATCCCTTTCATTCATAGCTTGGTGGAAACAGGCTGTCAGGTTGCGGCTTTCCTTTTTGGTAAGCTACAGTCCTGCTGTAAAGTTGTACACTGATTTCTTTCAAATAGGGAAGTGGATAGCACTTACCATCTTCAAGGATTTCCTGAGCCGCTACAGTGATGTTGTATGAGGAACTGAATTCTCTGTCCAGGGGCTTGGGAAGCTGAATAATTCCAGTATCGGATACCCTAATATAGTCTCCATTAGGACTAGCTCTTCGTCGAATAAATCTGTTTTTTTTTTTCAAAAGAGATATGTCAATGCAAGGGTGATAATACTGTGTTTCACTTCAGTTCTTCATAGTGGAAGGTCAGAGAGTTCTTGTGTGACAAATTACGTTAATATCTTGACCAGGTGGTCTCAGAATATTTCCCTAAAATTATGCAAGCTGTGAGAGCGAAATATATCCGTTGGAAAAGTTTCCAGATTATTGTCTTTTGCTGTTTCAGAAGTCTCTTTTCTTTTCAAAGCACATGCTTGAGAGAGTTATTACGATAAAAAATGTAACAATAAATTATAACCATGTAAAGATATCCAGGATTATGCATTTTCCTGTATATATGCAAATGTTTTATCAGTAAGTTTATGTGGTAATTACATGGGTAAATGTAATTTATGTTCAATTTGTTGGTTACCATATATATCCATGGCTGCAGTGCCGGAAAAATCAAATTGGATTTTTTTTTTTTTTTGGCATGCAGATTCTGAAAAATAGGGCCAAAGTCTCAGTTCTTTGTCAAATTCTTGGAATTGTTAAAGAATTCTCCACTTTAAAACAGAATTACTAAAGCTGGTGTCGTGTTACCTGATTTTCCGTTTAGCTGCGTCAGGGTCGTGTGCCCAAACTGAACCGAGTGTTCTTATTTCTGGATCATTTTCCCTTACTTTAAATTCATATGGTAGTTTAGTGAAGACGGGAGGCTCATCAACATCAGTGACTTCAATGGTGACTGTTGAAATGCTCCTAGAGCCACCGGATTTAAAATAACGAAGATCAACTGTGGGATCTGTTGCTTCAATGTCAAACCTGTATTCTGCTACTTTTTCGAAGTCCAGGGGCTAGAAAAAAGACAAACACAGATATTCTTCCTTTGGAGATGTCTAAGTAAACTTTGCATTAGCTATCTATGCAAATTTAAGCTCTGTGCTCTAATTCATGTTTGGAAATATTACTGAATTGCATCTTAGCTGGACTCCTGGGAGAGCATTTCCAAACTGAACTTCTTTTTCTTAGAGTGGCTTGAGCAACTTATGGTTTTGAACAGATTCATCCAGTATTCTAAGTTCAGCAAGTATTTCTTGGTTTAAATAATTTTCTTTTTATAATTCTGTAGCTACCAAAACTTGTTTAGCTCCTTTTTCTCAAAGGTTGGGGACCAGATTCTCCTCTTCTTGACTAGGCTTTCTGTTCTGAAGTCATTCAAGGCAGACTGCATAGCTGCACTGACTGATAGCTGGGGCATCTAGTGATAAACGACATCCGCTTCCTTGTTTTTCCCATTGACTGAGATTATAAAAGGAATCACACAATGGAGGGAAGGCCAGGAGCTAGGGCAGTAAGACATGCCCAAGCCATCACTCATTTCAAAGTTTGGGTCCCTTTGCACTATCGCCCAAGATTATAAAAGCACCGTGAAATACACAGTAGTTAATTGTGGTGACTCTTTGTTTTTCTCTTTGAGTAGACATTGCAAATGGAAGTGATAGTGCTTATCTAGCAGTTGAAATTTTATCTCACATGACTGCATATTTAAAATTATGACATGTGCATGGCCAAAAGCATGTTACAAAACAGTGGGGTGAACTTTGCCCACTGTGTGTTAAAAGATGAGCTGATTCGAAATCACCCAGTGTGTGTATGTGTGGGGTCTCTTACTGCTCCTCCTCTGGGCAGAAGTTGCAAGCAATGCATTCCTCAGGTCCTGGAAAGACCAGGGGAAGGGCTGCATTTGGTGAAGGAAAGCTGCTTACACCTAGTGTGACCACAGCTGAAGACTTTACTGCCAGTCTTGGAATAGTTAGTACTTCTTTTCCTTAAAGCTTTCTCTTCTTCTTAATGACATTTCTAGTCTTAACAGTGACAGAGAGACATTTGGAAGTGAAAAACACATTCCTGTCAATCTGAGGATTACCGGAGGTGATTCATAGTCCTCCTTCCTCTTTTTTTTTACTGTAAGTCAATGAAATCAATGAACTCTTGGCTTGGCAGTGCTCTGCATAATGCAGGAATGTCCCTTGGTACAAATCAAGTAGGTCTGAGAATTAAAAAACAAAGAGCAAACCATAATAAAGGCTCTGGAGAGTCTGGGCCCTCTTAAAGAGTTATAAGGAATTAGTGTGGAAGCTCTGAAAACACCCTGAGGAAAGTAAGGGAGCTGTGGCTCAGATTGGAGCAAGTGCCAAACTGTAAAGAGCACTTTTAGAAGAGTGGTCAGGTGGACTTGTTCACATTTTCTACTTTGGTTTCACTTGGACTGCAGAAGGGAAATATTCTTTGACTGGGTCAGTTGGTTCAACTCTTAAAATCACTGACTCTTTAAAGCATCCAAGTGTCTGAAGTTTGAGAGGAGCCCGAAGTGCGCAACGTGAATATCTGACATAGTCCCTATTGCACTCTGCAGTAATTCTAGATTTTCCCACGCCTGGCAGTTGAAATGGACTAGTAAATCACCAGCTCTTCTCACAGAGCTTACAGAACAGGGTTTTCAGGATGAACGTATTTCATGCCAACTTCCACGCATTTCCATTTTTTCCTGCCGCTAGTCCCAAACTGAATCAAACACTCTTGTTACACATGGAAAAACAAAATAATCATCTTTGCTACTGGGAAAAGTACCTTCTTTGGCCTAATGATTCCTTCATTTGTGAATGGATTTGCTACGATTTCAAAGGTGTCCCTGTAATCTCCTCTGACAAAACTGTATTTTGTATTTCTATGTTGTGGTTCGTCAACATCTTCTACTTTGACTCTGCCAACTTCTCCTCCTACTGAAATGTTTTCAGGAACTTTAAAGTGAAATGATGCTGTTAAAAAAACAACAACAAAACAACAAAAAAGACATAAAGAGTGTGTACATGGAAGTTAGAACTTAGTTAAAAATTGTTCTTAGTTTATAGAAATACAGAAAAATATTTCATTGAGAATTCAATATTATGTATTTCTACAGACAGCACTTTGATGTATTTTTTATAAAAGTATAATTAATTCTCAAAATTGTCAAGATCTTGTGCAAAATGATGAAATTAATACTGATTTTTATTTTCTCTCTAGGTGTGTGTCACCCAGGAAAGGTAGCTAGGGCTGAAATACAGAAGACCTTCTGAATATGTAAGATTCTTTTGTCCACTTTTAAGAAAAGTTGAATTGTGATGAACTCTGACATAAATTCACTATAGTAGTGTCAACCCTTGGTTTCCAAATGATACAGCACTTGCGTTATACTTACGGTGTTTGAATACTGGGAAGTTGTCATTGATGTCGGTTAAAGTGATAATGACTGTAGCTGTGCTTGAATCCCCAGAAGACCCTGGTGCATCTTTTGCTTTAACAATAATTTCATATGTTGATTGGTTCTCTCTGTCTAAATCAGCCCTTGTTGTAGAAATCACACCTTTGAAAAGATAACATTGAATATGATTAGATTTTGCAGCATGTCCAACACCTCTTAATTTTGACAGGAAATTTTTGTCTTATGCCACACATTCAGCTTTAAGTAGCATTTTTACAGTGGTATTTTTCTAAGGCTAGAAATGTTAGAAATATTTCTACATGGCAGAATATTTGGGAGATATTGTACAATACATTCCTTTAAACTGATCTTTGCTGCTTAGAAGCAGTCTAATGATGTCTAAACTTGGTCACTACAGCATCTAGAGAGTTTGTCTGAGCACCTCTTTGTCTGAGTTATTTGCTCCAGAGGACTAGCACAGTTACAAGAGATACTGACATTATTTTTAAAACTCTGCGAAATTTAAACAAGAAAGTTTAGGAAAGCAAAGGCTTGAGTTATTGGTTATTGAATGCTGCTTCAGAATTTATCTATTCCCTTTTCCTGTTTGGTCAAAGGAATGGTATCTATGCTAAACTGAAAACATGAACTTATATTAGCTCCTAGTCAGTCTCTTAATCAGTGGGGCAAAAATGACCTTTTATCTTCTCGTTTAGTTCATGGCACCTGGTATCCCGACTTTATTAATTCATACCCAGATGCAGACAGTGGCATTGTGTGAGTGTGAATGAAAAATCTTTCTAAATTATAGCTAAAATTATATTTTTGAATTATTATCCCCCTTGTCCAGAATGAAAGAGGCTTAAAACTGCATTTTCTTCAAAGTGTAAGGCAAGGACAAAGTGTAAGGACATTTGCGTATCTGACCTACCGGAGTCATCAACTGTGAAGTATTCGTCTCCTTTAATGACTTGGTAGGTAACTGTGGCATGACCTGTAACTGTTGGGTCATCAGCATCTACAGCTGTCACTTTGGTGACAGAGGTTCCTAGAAAAGGATTTTCAAACAGCATATTTAGTATAAATTCTACTTTTTAACCAGAGACATGAAGGGAAATGAGTGATGGAAGAACGTACCTACTGGTGACATTTCTGGGACAGATCCATTGAAAACTTTTTGCACAAACACAGGGACATTGTCATTAATATCATAAACCTTGATAATGAATTTAGACGGGGGTTCCAGTGACTGGTTGTTCCTTCTGTCAATAATGAGAGCTGTCAGTTCATACTCTGCTTTCTTTTCTCTGTCTAGCCTCTCAAATGCATATACATCACCACTGGTTTCTTCCACTTTAAAAATGGTGTTGGCATATTCACCTTCAATAATATACTTAGCGTTGTTGTTCCTTACACTTGATGTGATCTAGAAGGAAAGCATAATTCAAGGAGATAAGTGGGCTTTGGCATCCGAATGCAACACAGTTTCTACCAGAAGATACACACAAATCAGGACTTCTTCAGACTCAGTTTGAAACCAAAATAGCCATCAAGACTTTTGATGTCAGCTGGAGTATTACTGAACAGCACCACAGCAGCTACAACCATGCAGGGTTATAGGACGAAACTTGTATCCAGACTGAAACTTGCTTGTTTATATATCAAGAAGCATTTTTTTTAGACCACATCTCATATTTCCTAAAGATATAAATTGTTCATGCAGTTAACACATACAAATCATTAACCTCATTATGTCTGAAATAACACGCGCCACCACATTTAGTTTGAGCTACTCTTGTTTGCAAATAACCTTCTGAACTTAGCAGAGATTTTGCTTAGATTTCACAGAATTACAGAATCAAATCTATATTCACAGCTACTGACATTATTCAACATTAGTCTCTATTACTTAGCATTTAGCAGAATTCCCGCCATAGCTGACAGCTTTCTTGTGTTTAGTCAAATGCAATTTTTTTAATAGTCAGTCTTTTGGCTCATGCTATGATAGTAAAATTAAATTTCTACCCAATAGATTTTTAAAATTCAAGATTACATGCAATGAAAAAGGGATGGGGTAAAAGGAATGAATGTTAATCAGTTTTAAAATGTAATTTAATCCAATCCCAAATGGTTTTTCACATTGTTTAATCTGCAGATAATCTGATGATTCTTCCCTTTCTATACCTTCACCCATCTAAGGACACTGATAGAAGGTTTAAACCACATTTTTCCATGCACTATATCAGCATTCTTATTTCAGCAAGCTGTTTATCAATAATTGCTGTGTTTGACCAAGAATTTCTAGTCTTTTGTTACTGATGTTATCATAAATTGCAGCTGTTTGGTATTCACAATTTGATTTATCCTGTAGTTGTCATTTACTGTTGAACATTCTTTCATTTCTGTTTTCTATTTTGAAATGTGTCATTAAAATTTTCTTCCTTCATTCCACATACTTAAGCATGCTTCTGGCTGCTGGGGCTGCTGAAGAACAGTTTACAACTCTGGAGATGTAACATGGGGTCTTTGAGACCCTTGTCTCAAAGATAGTATAGTCTGTGCCTTCTCTCTCAATTTTTATTTACTTATTCTGTGTAAAAGGTATAGACTTCCAAGATTGCCTTTTCTAAAACTGAGGATGAACATACAAAGGAAAGCATCCAAGGTCATGAAAGATAAAATCAAAATGTATCAGCATATTCCTGCAGCTGTCACTCAGTTCTGCCACGTTGCTGCTGTGGCCTTTTTTAAAGGGTTTATCAAGTGTTCAATCCTGCAAATGCAATGCACTGAACACAGCCATTGCAAAAGTAATCAGAAGCATTCCACTGTTGAAAGACCACAGAGCACAGTACAAAGTGAATTACTCTTATTTAGGACAGCTCCAGGAATAGAAGCGTTCTCCTCAATCTGCTACTGAATTGGTCTGAAATGAAACAGAGATACCCTGTGTTAGCTGAGAGTACCCTATGGCCTCTTTTCTCTCTCTCTCTGGTGCTTTCTGCCAGTGAGCAGCCCTGATCCAGAAAGGTCTGTTTCACTTTGCCTAGACAGCCTTGACAGATGCTGATTGTTGTACATGGGAGGAAAATGTACAACTGCATTTATCTGAAAAGTGTCAAAGTAGTTCAATTTGAAAGACTACATTGGAAGAACTTTGTCTGGAAGATACGCAGTTAATCATAGGATTTTATGAGCGCTGCCCTGAAGAAAATGAGTTTGCAAGCAGGTCAATGCTAGTTATTATTTTTAAAAATTATTTTCTTTCACTTTGTGAAACAAATTTTTTGATTGTGTAACAGTATTCCTAAACATAGCACTTTTGTTTTGTGTCCAAGCTGAGAGATGTAAACTGTATGTTTTTTAATGCATATGTTTTTATTAGCTGATCTTCTAGGTTTTTGAAAGAATCTTGAGCTGCCAGAAAAATATTGACATACATCAGCTGCCAGACTTCCTTCCTAACTGTGCACCTGCATGCAATGCCATTGTTTCTGCACTGCAGATGCTCCGTACTTGCCATTCTCTAAAATTTACTTGTGGTCTTCAAAAGAATTAGAATCCCTTTGACATTATTCTTGATTTACTCTGTGTCCACATTCTTAAGATTTTAACACGTTAATATGTTGGTATTAAGTCCCATTTCTATTTCCTTTTTTTCTCTTCTGTTCTGCCTAGACTGCAAACAAGTAATACTTTTCAAGATACTCATTTGCTGTCTGCATTTCTAATTATTCATTGCTAACAGACTGCTATTTACCTTGCCAACATGGTGTGGTAATGGTGTATCAATCTCTTCTTTGATATGCATTTGGTTCCATATCCAGTCTCTCTTCAGTCGTTTATGACTGGCATTGTTTGAAGAAAAGTTTTGGTTTGTTTTCTGACTTTCTTTGTCAGCAAATGCTGGAGCCAAGAACAATGAGAAAAGTAGAATAAGGTGGTTCATCTTCTTCTGTATCCTAGAAAGTTAATATAAAATATGAAAACTATATAAATAACAGCAGAATCATATTAATCAGAGAGCACACATAGAAGTGCAAATGGACTTTCCTTCTATAGGAAAGTTTGGATACTTTCTGTATTTCTTTTCATCTGCCTTAGCATCAAAATTTGAAATATCAAGCTTCTTCCTTCCATGACAACTGTAAAAAATGACAAAAATATTTTAATGAAATAAAAAATGTGCAAGTTTTGAAAACTAGCATAAAAGCCAGCATCCACTTGAGCTACCATAGTTAATCTGAAGAGAAGATTCAGTAGCAAAGATCACCCGTTGTGCATTGCAGAAAGTGTAATCTGGCTGCAGAGCATAGCTCATGGGGAGAGTAGCCATGGGAAGTAACACTAAGGCTGAGCCAGATCAAAGTTCATGTTAACTCAACTTGAAATGAAATGTTGCAGCTTGACAAACCCAAATGCAATGTTTTGACTTGCCCTGACACAAAATACGCTGTAGTCAATATCTTCATATGGAAAATATTGATTTAGAATAAAATCTGTTTTTTTTGGTGGAAAAAATGTTTCATGTGAAATTTTCAATCAATTCCAAGTACAATGTAGCAAATTGTCTTGCTCAGAGAGCTCATTTATTGATTCAATTCCTTGTCTTTTGAAACATTTGAAGACACATAGGAAGTTCCTTTATCCCCTATTCTCAGGTTTTACCATCTACAAAATGATAATTTGTGAAATTATTCTCAGGTGAAACCATATTTTTGCATCATATGTTAATATTAGCAAACTCTAGGCCTGACTTTCATATCAGATTGAGAAGTTATTTTAATGTAGCAAAACTGATTCATTTTCTTACTAAATTTCCCCTTCCCAATATAAAGGACTGTCAGGGAACTTTAACACTCAAGTAATCAGACTTTAAATTACACATAAATGACTTTCCATTAGCTTTTAGGAGCTGTCAGCATGCACATCAAAAATAAAACCATTAATTGTGATAGAGAAGTTGATATCACACAGGTTGCTAGATGCGAGATTAAATTAATATTTTCGGCAGGAAGGTGCTGAGACGTTTCCAAAATTACTCTTTGGTAACTAGGCAATCAATGTTATCCTGTGGTGCAGCATCATTGTCAGTAAAAAGATTTTATTTACTATGAAATTTTGCTTTCCTGTACTTTTTTCTCTTCTACATTGTTGTACATAAGCTGAGGAACATTATTCTTTGTAATTGTGTAGGAAATGACCATTATTGGTGGCTTTGAAGTTGCTTTTTAGTAGCTGAGCTGTGTTTTATATGGTTTTATGGATCCATGAAAAACTTTTTAATTTAGCTAGTTTTTTGTATTCTATGCACTTACTTTGGCTCTGAATATTTTTAGAATTTTAGAAAAATGAGTAAGATTTAGTTGTTTTGCTTTGTTTTATTTGTGTACATGAACATTCTACAACTGGAAACTGGAAGGCATTGATATGATTCTGTTGTGGTCGCATAAGTCTGTCTTTTATTCATAAAATTACAAAACATGATAACCAAAGGAAACCAGTTGGTTTACGTCAACTAGTACAGGCTGTAGTTTTGGAAAAAACAGACTGTAGTGTTTAAAAAGTAATTTTCTCTTGTTGCTCTGGTACAGTGGAGATCTCCTGTGCTGCTGTAGTGAAGAGATTAGTTGGGAAAACTGAGGACAATACTGCCCGCTCCAGTTGCCATTCATTTCATTGGAAGTGATGCATTTACAAACAACCTTGCAGAAAGCATTTTTAAATTAAATAGTCAAATCTCTGCTAAAGCATACTGGTCTCAGTATGAATCTACTTTGTAAAGAGAAATTTTGTGTCTTCCAAGTAATATTTTCCTAGTATTTGCCTCTCTTTTTATTAGTGCTCAATTCGGAGCCTGCCCTCTGTCAAACTCCTCAGGGTACTTCTCTTGCTGTTGCTGAGAGTGATTACTAGTAACAGCAACTCCAGGACCTTTGGTATCCTCATACAGGGGCACTGCTTATCGGAAATTGAAGGCTCAAATTCATAACAAGTGTACCGTTATCTGCATAGGAGCTCTGGGACTGTGGTCATAATCCTGATTATTCCTGAGGATCCATGCAGCATATGCAGACTCTCCTTTGAAGTAGGTGGCCTGTACATGTTTCACAGTTCAGGCCTTGTTTGAAAGCTTGGCTATTAATACAGAAAGCGCTAGACTGAATCTTTTTAAATATATGCACATTTCAGCTGAAGCTTAAGCTACCCCTTCCACTCAGCAGCTCCATCTTTGTGTTCTTAGATTTTTAAGGTGGCTTCACTTCCTTTAACTCCTCATTAATGGATTCCGTGTTAATACTTGTCCAGCCTCCTTGGTAACTTAACGGTTCCTTTGTGAGCAATTTGGTGGAGTTTGGTCTGCCCTCTGGTATGCACTGTAGGTCAAACACAGACTGAGATAGAAGAGCCTCTTGCAAAAAATGACTTCTGCTTTGTCTTTGGCATCTTTCAAAATTTCTCATTTTGATAGAAGTACCACCGCACACTCGAGCACTTTGCATGCTGTCTTTTCTAGGGACATTTGATGTGCATTGCTCCATAGGACAGTCTGACTCTGAGAACACTTCCTCTATGATACCATGCAAGTTTTCCATTCAGCAGCTGGAAGTCCATTGCTGTTGAATCCGTAGCTGAATTCATCGCAATATTTAAGATTTGGCTTTGGCAGCACATACAAACACTTCAGAAGCAGGACCCTGACGAGCAGTAACTGCATAAGGGCACTGTCCTGGTGTGAAGGCCACGTTCCATGGATGTTAGCTCTTGACAAGCTATACTAAATGCTCTCTCTTTTTCTGGCCATGATAGTTTTCCTTTCCAGCAGATCTCATTTGAAATGCCAGAGGTAGTAGCAGAAGAGAGATATTCCCATGCCTGAGCAGGGGAGTGCATTCCCATGGAGTCAGAAGCAAGAAAGTTTCTGTGGGATGGCAGGTGGATGAAATGTAGGGATTGGCTCTTTGTTTCTTCTCATGTCTGCTGTGGCAGCCAGGACTGAGAAAAGGAAGTAAGATGCACCCTTATGACCCTCGTGGCCACATGCTTCTGGAGAAGGGGACAGCACAGCATGCGCTGCGACTGATCTGTCCCATGCATGGCTCTCCCTGGCATGCTGCCATGAGGTCCCATCCCTGGCCTACGTTAATGCACAGTCTCCAGTTACCCATCTGTCTCTAACTGATTAGACCAATAATTCAAACTTTCTTCAATTTAAGCAGGGACCATAAATATCCCTTAAAGTTAGCAGGTGAATGGTTTATTCAAATAGCTAAGTTTCTTGCTTTGCTCTTAAATTTTCTTTCAGCAAATTATGGGTTTTTCCACCAAGATTATTCATTTTATGTGTTGAATTATTTTAGCAAATAACTCTTGGTCTGCAGGGTACTATAGACGGTTAACTGAGAAATTCTGGTATTCAAACTGATTTATGTGACACATGACTCATACGGTGTAGTTTCTTCTCGCAGATTGGGAGTAATTATTAAAAAAAGTCAGGTGGAGATACAGACAATACTGTACTAATTAAAAGTTTGCATTTTACAAGTTGTTTTGGTAAGTAATCAACTGTAAGGTTGATGAGCAGCTAATATGAATAAGGTCTCCATGTAATGAAAACACATTTGATGAAATATTCTTATGAACATTTGTGGGTTTTTTTTCTGGTATTTGCCTCTTACCTGGTTTACTTCTCACTCTAAAAATGTATATTAATGCTTATACAAAGTTAGTTTAGTTATCAAAGAAATTTGTTCTATGCTTGCATGTTAAATAGAAGGTTTCTGTATAATACCAGGTTTCCGTATGGACTCTGGCAAATGAGGAGACAGTTGTAGCTGAAATGATGTATTTTTCTGGTTGATTGGACTAAAATCTTATGCTAATCTTTGACAATTTTTGTTTTTTAGCATCTAAAAAACAGAAATAGTGCTAGAAATAGTGATAAGGAACATCCTAAGAGAGAAATTTGCCTGAAGTGGCTATCATACACCAGAAAAGAAATATATTTTAAAAGGCTTGTGTCCGTATTGTTCAGATAATTTGCATACCTGATTGTCAGAAAAACTGGAAAAGAAATTATTGTTGATGATTGAGCTGGAAACTTAATTATTATTTTTGCTTACAGTATCTTGGTTGGAATCTGAACAATGCAAATGCAAATGAAAAATCCCATGCAAAAATGAGAGTTTCATCAAAGCAGAAACTATTAACAAAATTACTAATAAATCAACACGATAGGACATAATCTATTCCATTCCACAGTACTGGAAATTTTGCTGTTTCTGGTTGTTCATCAAACCTCAGCTGTCATGCCTGCAGCCATGTAAATGTAGGGAATACTAAATATCTGAAATACTGTATTCAATCAACTGGGAGAGATACGGAGCTTGAAGGAGGGCATTTGCTCGGCTTAACCTGCCCTTGCTGTGGGTGTGGGTGCGGGCCATGGCCCTGCAGTGTCCCTGGGAGCGGGGTGCTGGGATGGGTGCGTGCCTGCGGGGATGTGCTGGCTGGGCTAAAAGAGAAAGAAAACTAAGAAAACATTCTTCACAAAAGTTTTTTCAGAAAAGTTGACTTTGGATAGCTTTAGTTTAGTTTAATAAGTATTTTCTGACTATCTTTGCCCCTCCTGTCTGCTGCACCCTCCCCAGTATTCCTAAGTAGCTCTGTGCCAAAAATTCTGTTGAATTTGCAGTGGATTAAACCCCACAATACAGAGTAGACAGCACTTCAAAATTTTTTTTTCAGCTACAAAAAATTTACTTTGATACAGCATCTAAACACCTCCAGAATTACTATGCTCAATGAAGCCATAATAGATAAAAAGAGAGCAGAATCTGACCCAGTGTCAAGTAACAAAATGACTCTGAACCACCCTGCCATACAGAATCCATTTTTAACATTAATTTCTCATCTATATGATGTTTAAGACCAAAGGTAAATGTGTGAATGCAGTAAGCATTAAGAAATAGAAAGGTAACATACCAAATGCAGGAGGGGGATAAATTATCTTTTTCTTTGCAATGCCTGTAGTTTTGGTAAGCAGGCAAAACATTATTGAAAGAAAATAGTCCTAGCAATACTTAACGCAGCCTCTCAGGGACCTTAAATGGCTGTGGAAACATGAATTGATAAAGCCTCCTCATTTCTCTGTGAAAAGAACTGCAGCTAGATAAAAAGCGGTATCTCTTTCAAAAGGTACATTTGAAGCACAGAGGACTTAAGTTTGTGTTTGCCATCTTCTGACAGTGGACCAGGGTCAGGAGTAACAACAGTCTCAGATTTTGTTCTCCCAGTTTCTTCATCTCATAATTAGACAACATTGCTCTAACCAGCTTCTAACAAACCGAGAGAAACACGGCAGCAAAGTAATGACATAGGTATAATTGTTACCTTCACTCCAGTTTCTGCTTGGCATCTAAGTTGCAAAACTGTGATCCTCCTTTGCTCCCTTGAGCTTACAATGTGAGAAGAGTTGAGGGCACATAGTAAGTACAGTGAGAACGGGAACTAGGGTAGGTCTTCAAACTTTAGTAACATCACTTAAAAAAACTGTCTAAGTAAATTGTGCAACACTTGACTTAGAGCAATCATTTTTTTGTTGCATTTTCATATATAATTTGTTTTGGGTGGTTACTCAGTGTTTCTCTTACTTCTTATTAAAGCTGTCTTGTCACGTCCTCCACAGTGTACAATGATTCTTTTAAAATAGGCCTTTCCTGAGAGCACTGTGCTGCTTTTTCGTTTCCAGATTATTGAGCTGATTTAAATGGGCCTAGGGCCTGACTACCTGGTATTATATTTTTGATTGTCCTTATGTCGATTTTATGCATCTGAGAAGTGGTTTCCACTGATGACTAAACAGTCTGGAGTACAAATGTCCACCTGAAAACTGATTATAAAATGACTTTTTATATGCATGATAGTACCTTTGAGTAAATAGCCACTTTGATGACTAAACAATCTGGAGTGCAAATGCTTGCCTGAAAACTGATTATAAAACGACATTTTATACTTGTGATAGTGCCTTTGAATGAATAGCCACTTCAGCAATATCTTAACTAAACTTGCTACTTAAAAAAAAAAAACACACGTCACTCAGTATTGTGAGAGCACTCTTGCTTGCATTTGGTGCTGTTCAGTTCTTGGTGTTGATGCTGCAGCACTGTATATCGATACAGCTGAGGAGATAATTCAGCACTTCTGATTTTGGCTCTGGTTTTGGCTCCTCATATTTTTTCCCGGGAAAAAGAGAACAATTCTAATCTGAAAGTTCTTTGTGATTTCAGCTCCCAAGTTTCTGGTAGGTCTGGGGAAAGTGTATTAATGATTTTTTCCCCTGTCTGTTCAACTCACCAGAAAAGTCTCTCCTGGATGATACAAAATACAACTTCATCTCATGGGTGGATGGAGTCCTCAACCAGGACAGATGCCTCTTTCAGAAATGAAGAAATTTGGTTATAAAAGATCTATAAATACTTACTATGTGTGCGTTAAAGATTCATTGCCTCGTGGAAAGCAGGCAGCCAAATTGGTCTCCCAGTCTTTCTGTTATCTCAGATACAGAACTGGCTAAAAATAGGGGAGGCAAGCACTGGTTTGGCTTTTTTTTTTAAAGAAACAAAGCCACCCTCCAAGCTAGTGGGTGAGAGCTTGTGCACTGAAGATGAGTGAGCAGCAATAATGAAATCTACCTGAATGTCCTCCCAGAGCTTCTTGACACCCCTGTTTGCATTTTAGCAAATGACTTGCTGACTCCAGGATTAAAGTGCTGCAGTAAATACTGAGAGAAGGGCATATGAAAAGGCTGAGTGTGAACTGAAAATAAGAAATGTATGGTCTAAGAAGACATTTGCTGTAAACAGAATGATTTTAGAGAAATGAGTGAGGAAGAAAGTTGTAAGAGGTCACAAAGGTCTCCTTTGTTCCTTGCCAAGAAGCTTTTATGGAAAAGGGATGTATAGATTTGCAGTTTGTTTGCTAGAAGTCACCTCACCACAGATCTGAAAGAGAAGCAGGATGAGTCAGGTGCAGGATCTGATCTTGCATCAGTAAATTCTCCTGACTTTACTGTAGTTTGTTTTACATCAGTGATGTGCCTGATAATATTTTAGCTGGGTAGGTGAACAAAAATGTTGGCATGAGTGGGGAAAGACTAGCCTATAGAAGGCTTTGCTTATTTTAATCTATGAACAGTGCAGTACTACAGATGCAGTCAGCCATCATAGTAGGCCAGAAATATTGTGCTTAGTGCTCTTGTCCATCTTGGCTCTGAATTGCTCTGAATCTGACCCATTATATACAGGCGTGACCTCCAGGACAAACAGGGAAATAATTTTGTTGGTAGTGCAACTTCAGCTCAAACACTGTTCCTTACAGCACTAACCTTCAAAGGTATCCTGATAACTGTATCAGTAGAATCATAACATTTACTGCCTGTTAGCTGGGTGTGCAAGACATAATCACAATCTCGCTTTGGCTCACAAAAATCCTTTGCTAAAAATGCTGATTTAGTTAAGAGAATTCAGAGGCAGGTCTGTTGGACAGTCAAGCACCAAGGCCCAAAATCTCAAAGGTAGGAGGACATTTAACTTTTGTTGATTTCTCTCAATTTCTAGTTAACCATATCTTAATGTGTATTTTCCAAAAACTTACAAAAACATGTTTGCAGTTTGGAGAGTGCTGTCTACGTTCCTACATGACTCCTATCTGGTAAAGAATGGATTAGTTATAAAACTATTGAATGTGTGTTGCTGGTGTAAGTTCAGATTCAGTTTCCTGTTCACAAATACACATTTGTTTGGCTTAGATCTTGATTTACCTGTACGTAACACCTGTACAGCTCGGAATCAGCTCAGAATTTGGCTTCTGTTAGACTTCAAGAAAACCCCAAACAACATCTTTTTCTGGGAAGATTTGGAAGAGATGGGCTGATAGATTGTGACTAGTTGTTCTGTGTTCTTTAGGGACTGGTAGCCTTTTGTGGATAGTGTTAGTTTAAGTACGTCTGGGGATCTGAAACATTTCTGTTTGTGGAAATGAATCCCATACATGATCTAATAAAACATGTGACTGTATTTCTATGTACCTGTATAGTATGTACAAAAGTATGCAACTTCCACATACATCAGAGGGAAGCTAGTTTTTTTTTTTTATGCAGCACATCAAAAATTTACATAGTGAAGTTATCCAACCAAGAGGGACTGCTTCTGTGTTTCATGTGCACAAGCTATGATTCCTATTCTAATCATTGATTAAATCATTTTTCTATCCATCTATAGTAACCTGTTTTTTATCTGAGTTTCTTACTTGCAAATCTGATAACTGAGAAGCAAATTAAATACATGTTTTAATTACTGGGCTGGTCTCTTCATGGACTTTAAGGAAGCATTATTTCTGGATTAGATGAATTAATAATTCTTGAATCAGTTCTGTTGTTGAAATGACAGTGCACCGTTTAAGTGAGGGTTGTTTGCTGTGGTGAGGATGACATATGTGATGAAGGTAAAACAATACTTTGAAATCATTAAAATGGGTGGTGAGAGCACTGACTTTCTCCTCTTCTCATCAGATCAGTTATGCAGTCTAATTGTTGTTTTAATGGATGACTGTTTTCCTTTCATATGAGCACCCTGGTATGTCTAGCAAGTAATCCACCAGTCTTAGTAAAACTGCTGGCTGCATACCTCACCCAGGAGAGAAATACGTATGAAGGTCTATCAGAGCCACACTGAATCATTAGGTGAGTTTTAAGAATCTTCCTCATTTCACACTCTCAGCATGCAGATCATGTATCATGCCAGGTGCAGAATCAATGTCTTTACTCATTTTTCATATAGTCATATAATGCTTTACTACAGAAACTGCCTGAAGTGACCCCAAAATGGATTAGAGTGCTTTAAAGAAGAAGCAAGTGGTATTGTCCAGTCTTTCCATGCTTAAAGCCTTTTACTTCACATACACATATACTAGTACAAAATATAACAAGGGATAAAATGTGCTTAAGCACAGTGCCCAGTATAAACCCAGCTGCTAAAATATTTTGAAGCTCATTTGTGATTAAATTATTAAGCCAATTTGTGACACTGTTTCATAACAAATAAATATATTATCATAAACAGAAGATTTTGTCAACATTAGTTGTTGACAGCATTGAGTTTAAGGTCATAAGCTACTCTCCTATAGCTCTTTACAGTGTCTGAGCTTTGGGAGCACGTATATGAGGGCTGAATGACTCCTAAGGAGCAGGAGTATTCCGGTGTTTAGTGAGTATGCTCAAACCCACAAGCAGAGTTTGGGTGTTGGTACAGAATATTATCACCTCATCGTCATTGTGTCATAAAGATTCTGTGCTTTGTTGATTTAGAGCGTTCCATTTTTTAAAATCAGGAAGCTCATAGTACCTATGACTAGTATGATTTATTTGCTTTGCAGATGTTGCAGGGGTGAAACTAATAATTAAATGACAGAGAATTTGTTCTTGGCCACACATCTTTTGATGACAGTTGCCAAATGCTGTTGCAATCGGAGCTATTTTGGGGGGTTAACTTTGCATTAAATACAGCCCTTCTGTTCTGAAGTGAGTTAATAAGATGGGTGGGATGAACCCTGCATGCATAGTTTGGAACTGCAAACATTTTCCCCTATGAATTCTTTGTCCAAAATATAAAGCAAAGAGGAAAATATCTCCCATCCAGATTAATTATTGATAAGGACAGATGCTGAAAATAGTGATGAAGTGCCAGTATTACAGACAGGCAAAGAGCTTGTTCTCTTACTTGTATCCAAAAAGTAGTTTCAGGGATGATCTTGCAGTCAGGTGTACTCACTCCTACAAAGGATCTCATTGACTTTGAAGAATGATTGAGGCTCTGTCAGTCTCAGTGGCCTATTTACGCAGCTGTAGATCCAGCTTCTTTCTCGCTTGCTTTGAGCCAATTTCCTTTTGCTTAGCCCAAACTGTGGTGGCTCTGGTAGGAGAGACAGAGGTGCAGGTGTCTCAGCACTGAGCCTCCCTCATCCTCAGCACCTCCCACGCTCAGACGATGTTATTGATTTTTGGGAAGCAGGGGTTTGGGTGAGAAGGGAACAAGGGAATCCTCCAAAAATTATTTGGCTCATCCCAGTGCAGAAGCGGAACAGTTTGGATATATTGGAGGTGTTTGTGATCACTAAAAAGATTTCTCAAGCATGTCTAACCAGAAGCTTTGTTTCCTACAATAAATTGTGTGCACATTTCAGAATTGATCTGTTTTGATACTGCCCCCTGACACAGAGATTAGCCGAAGCTGTCACTGAACATTTAAGAGTTTGGCCAAGCTGAAACAAAATAAGGTACACTATGAAATCAATGTATTATAGAGATTTTTCCACTTCCCCTTTGTTTCCAGATAAAGCCTTAATATCAGTGAGGCTTCCTAGCACAGAGCGCCAACTGAGTAGCTTTGTTTAAGGAAAAGTCCCCATCCTTTGAGGAACTGCATGCAATAAATATCTTTTTTTTTTTTTTAAAGTACAATGTAGCTGTGTTTACAGTAGATAAGATTTTTTTGACATTTTCCTTCAACAGAAGCTCAAGAGCAAAAGTATCTGTCTCGAACACAAGCATCATGCACAGGTCACAGTAATTGATATTTATTGTACTAACAGTAATCTGAAGCAGAGAAACCATGTTTAGCTGGCTGTGTGTTCTGATTCCTTTGTCCAGGTTATTCTGCTGGGTAGCATGCAATAATATCTTTTTTTTTTTTTTTTAAAGTACAATGTAGCTGTGTTTACAGTAGATAAGATTTTTTTGACATTTTCCTTCAACAGAAGCTCAAGAGCAAAAGTATCTGTCTCGAACACAAGCATCATGCACAGGTCACAGTAATTGATATTTATTGTACTAACAGTAATCTGAAGCAGAGAAACCATGTTTAGCTGGCTGTGTGTTCTGATTCCTTTGTCCAGGTTATTCTGCTGGGTAACTGAATGCATTAGTATTTCCTCTGAAAATTAATTTTGTGGCAGATAAAGAAAGCATGTACATATACATAAATCTCTTGTTTTCTGGCTGGGCAAGAGGCTAAAAAAACAGGGTGTGCCTGGATATATTTTGTTTGGTAATTAGTATTCAGTATTTTTCTCCCTTTTTAAAATGTCTAATTCAAATGTCAGTTCATTCTTCTCTATTTCCTGCCCTTCTTCAACTAGACTTCCAGACCAGGCTTAATTAACTTTAAGACCTTTTCTGCCCACCCCTATAGTTACAGTCTTTTCCTGGAACATTTCCATTGTTATAATCTCCATGTGTTTTGAGATGATACAAATGATATTATTACTGCTCTTACGAATTTACAATGAGCCTTTCAATATTTTTACTTACAGCTTAGCTCTTGTCGGGAAAATCTCATCTTCAAATCAAAATAAAACTAGGGAAGCAAATTTCCAGCT